CACCAAGGGAGCATAGCTGGCGCAGCATGTGATGCCAGGGATCAAATCCCGGTCCCTGTGTTTGCCTAAGCAGGCACTTTGTCTGCTGAGCTATCTCACCGGCCCTAGATATAATACTTATTAATTTATAGAATTACTGTGAGAATTAAATGAGTAATGAATGTTAAAGAGTACTTACTCATAGTCAATAGTGGGTCATGGTTAACAGTTATAATTATAGACAAAAAGGGTACCCTAGCACCTGTCTTTTCCATTTTGTTTTGTTTTTTGGGGGGGACAGTACCAGGAATGAAACTCAGGACCTCACACTTGCCAGGTAGGTGCTTTACCACTCAGCTAAATCCCTGGCCCTCACAGCACCTCTCTTGCCTAGGGTGTGGGTTTGTTTGTTTTGTTTTGTTTTGTTTTGTTTTGTTTTGAGACAGGCTGTCCTTGAACTTACTATGTAACCCAGGCTGGCCATGAATTCTTAGCAAGCCTCCAGAATGCTGGGCCCACACACATACACAAGGCCACCTAAGTTTTTTTTTTTCAATGTATTTAGTACAGGGTCCATAGGGTCTCACTACATAGATCGGATTTGTAGTGATCCTCCTGCTTTCAGCCTCCCAAGTACTGGGATTACAGGCACCCGCCACTACACCCAGTCTCAGTCACGTCTCAGCACACCCTGGGAGTAGGGCTGGCACAACACAACAGGGATTGAACCCCAGTCCCTGTGCCTGCCTAAGCAGGCCCAGCCACTTAAGTCCTAAGACAAATCACTTCTCTTGGAGAAATGAGGACTCAGACTCCCAGGGTCAGTACCCTTCCACCCTCAGGCTTCCCTTCTCACTCAGTTCCTCAGGCCAGTCAGATCCGTTAGATGCCTAGATTAATCTCTGGCATTTTCCTCCAGGTATAGGAAGGAACTCTAGCCCAGCGGGCTGTGTTGAGCACTGACTAGCCTTAACTACTCTTCCTCTCCCCTTGAAACTCAGCAAAGGAGACTGAGGCGCAGTCTAGCTTCTCTAAAGAACCCTTTGGTTGAAATGAAACAAAATTGTAAGTTTCCACAGCAGTCCCACCAGTCTAAGCAATTGCAAGTTCTTCTCCTATCTGGTCTCTAGCCTGGAAGGCAGCCCACATCTCTGGTCCATAAAAGGTCAGCGTCTGTGCTGCCACCACTGCCCCGCCCCCCAACTATCCACAGAGCAATATGCTTCCCATGCCTCCTGGGAATTAAAACTGTACTCCCTCCACACACATGAAAACCCCTGCCTTTAAAGCCTTCCTGGGCCAGCTGCCGGGAGCCACTCTCAACTGGTCTGAGCCAGAGACTGCAGCTCCCAGAACTCTCCCAGTGGGAGCTGCTGGCGCTGTCCCTATCTGGTCAAATTCCATCCACTCCCACATTTCACAATCCAACCCCTGCAGAGCTAAGCAGAAGGCCCTGTCCCTGTTCTCTCCCAGGCCTCTGAAGTCAGGGTCTCATTATTTCTTTGAAGGGGAGGGGAGGAAATGCACTGTTATCCACCTGACCATCATCAACCTCCTACGGCGTCCCTGGCCTGTGTACTAAAAGCCATAGCCCAGTGTGGGTAGCAAGTGCCAGGGATGTGAGATCCTGTTCGTGTAAGTGCTGGCTTTTATTTGATATTTTATCCCAGTATTTTAAAGAACTATAAAGCTCCTCTGACCCCCAGCCTTGTGTCAGGGTCTTAGACATTATCACCTCCCTGGGTGAGGGCATGGTGGTACGGGATGGGGGCATGGGAACATGCAGCAGGGCTGGTTTGAGGTAAAAAGGATGCAGAGGGCACCTGCCTCCCACTGTTTTAGCTTCTGCAGCCCAGGGCGCAACCCCCTGGGGGGAGGAAGAAGACACAGCAGGACCTTCCCTCCAAGCTCAGGCCAGCCACACTCACCTGGCTCTCAGCTCAGATGGCAGCCCTGGGGCAACATTTCATAAACCTTTATAAATGTGCCTTATGGGGGCCAAGGGTATATAGCTCAGAGGCACAGCACCTGGCTGGCAGGTGCAAGGTCCTGAGTTCAATGGCCAAAATCCCCAAAAAACTGTGCCTTATGTGACCTGGAAGGCTACGTTAGATTGAGATGTCCAGAGAAGAGAAAGGAGATTTTTTAAAGAATTAAAATGTTATGTAGGGCCAGGGAGATAGCTCGGCGGTCTAAGCAAGGACCTGGATTTGATTCCTGGTACCACGTGTGTGCTGACTCTGTGCTGGGCTGGACACCGAAACCAGGTGTGGTAGTGCACGCCTGTAATCCCAGCACTGGGGAGGTAGAGACAGGAGGATCACTACGGGTCCAGGCTGCTCAGTGAGGCCATATACCAAAAAATAAATAAAAGATTTTTTTAAGTATTATAAAAAAATGTATGTACCTGTACCAACTCCCTAGAATGAACGTAGTTATTACATACCACATACATGTACTAGCAACAGTTAAAATAGATAGAATTTAGAAGTCCAGTGTTCCTTGCAGTTCCACACTAGACTGTATCCCAGGCCCAGCCTAGAGGCTCCTTTGCTCTCCCTGCTTCATGAGGCACAGGGCCTCCTGATACGTACACATGTACATGTGATATGCAAGCCTGATATGCAGGCTCTGCCACCTTCTTCCTGACATCTCTTGACCACTGCTTGTCTGTATATTTGTGTCTCCTCAAATGTATGTGCTACAACTTGATTTCCAGTAAAAAGTGACAGATTAAGAGGTGAGGTCTTTGGGGAGGTGGTTAAAAAAGAAGAGTGGAGCTCTTGTGACCGGAACCAGTGCCTTTAAAACAGGCCTGAAAGCTGGGCATGGTGGTGCATGCTTGTAACTTAGCCCTCAGGAGAGTGAGGCAGGAGCATCTCTGTGCATTCAAGGCCCAGCCTATACTACACAGTGAGATTGTCTCAAATAAAAAAAGAAAGAAAAAGACCTGAAGAGTGCATCTACCCTCCTATCATGTGAGGTTACAGGTAAAGATGTCTTTTAATAGGAAAGAGAGTCCTGGTTAGACACCAGATCTGACAGTTCCTAGATCTTGGATTTCTCAGTCTCCATAACCACAAGCAGGAAACTTCTGTGGTTTATAATTGACCCAGTGCTAGGTATTTTGTTATGTTAGCCTGAACTGACAAGATTACCACCTTGGACCCACAAGTGTGCACAATCTGTCCTTCAGACCCAAAGAGGGGTCCAGGGTGGGCTTGCCAGAGAATTCTGGGGTCCTATGCACCAGGTGGGCATCCTGCTCCACAGGAAGGGGCATGACTGAGCCTTGAAAAGGCCCAAGCTGAGCCTTCTGCAGTGAGGCCCCAGGCCTGATCCACTCCTTTTGCACTGGGATGGCCCAGGCTGTCTGCTAAGGCCAACAGTGCCATGCTACTTCCCTGGGCTCTGTCACTGCCGTGCTACTTCCCTGGGCTCTGTCACTGGTCTTCTTACATTTCCACCTTGTGCCGTGACCAAGAAACAGGAGTACCAGTTAGAAAAGAAAAAATACTGTTTATTCCACACAACTACATCAAGTGCTTCTTCCCTACTCTTTCCTCCCTGCCCTTCCCTCCAGCCCTCAGGAGGCGTAGCCCATGCTAGGAGACAGTCAGAAGCTCAGTCAGGATCTGGAATATGAGGCAGAAAAGGGAGTCTGGGTACAGGAAAATGACTGGATTCCCAAGAACACAAAAACATCAGTGCTTCTCATTCCAAATTCAAGAGTGTTCCTCAGTTCTTCTGACCAAATCGTTCCCTGGACTTGCCTGAATAAAATGTCAAGGTCAGTGCAGGGTCAAAGGCCCCAGGTGATTCAGTGGTTCACTGAAAGTTTTGTTCTTTCTTTCACTTTAAAACAAAACAAACACAGATTACCCAGTTCACCACGTCTGCCCATTCTCCTGTCTTTCCACAGCAAAGGAGCCACCATGTTCTGCCTAAAAACTAAAGGATGCTTTCAAAATCCAAATTAATATGAGCTCATTTCAGAGCCTGATGCTAATGAAAAACAAAAAACCACAAAGAAAACACTCCCTCAATGAGTGAGCAGGCCCAGCTGCTTTCTGGAGGTCCTACGTAGGGGAGCAAGGGCAGAGGTCACAGCGCAACAGTAAGCTCTGCCTCCTGCATGCTTCGACACGCCCTGCACCCCTCTGCCCAGGGAATTCAGCCTGCAAACACCTATCTCTCTGGAAGACCAATCCATCTTTCCAGTGGAGCAAAAGCAACAGCTTGGTTTTGGCCAGCCTAGGGAAGACAGATTTAGATGAGGGAGAGGCTGAAAAAACATAGCTAGGCCTAATTTAGACCCATGGTGGTTCATGATGTTTTTTTTCCTGCCATGCCACATAACAGACAGATGGTGTCCTCCTGCATGTCCACACCCTGTTTTCTATGTTATCCTCCAGGCTCCAGGTATAACTGACTACTTATCTCCTCCCAGAAAAAGAGAGAGACAGAGACAGACAGAAACAGAGAGACAGAGAGACAGAGAGACAGAGACAGTGAGACAAAGAGACAGAGAGAGAGACAGAGACAGAGAGACAGAGACAGAGAGAGAGAGAGAGAGAGAGAGAGAGAGAGAGAGAGAAGCACCCCTGAATACAAGCATTTGAGCATGAAAACTTGCATCTCTTTAATTCATTGAAGGGTGAGTTGCCGAAACACTGTCACCGACACAGTTGTGACTCCTACTGAGCATGTGTGAAGGACACCCCTCTCAAGTGAGTGGTCATCTCATAGGGGTGGTTGTTACCCAGGACCCAGAGTGCGAAGCCTCCTCTTCAGAGATGTACTCACCGGGAAGCTGGATCAGGCAAGCTGCCCCCCCACCTCCTCACCCTACCACACACCTGCCAGGTCTGGCTGGTCCGAATGCAGCAGGGCACAAATGTGAGGACCTCTCCCTGACAGGGGTCTCAAGAGGGTGGCTACACTGGCACTCAGAGCTTTGCAAGGACCAACAGTTAAGTGGGACAGGAAACGCAGTACCCCAGAGCAAGCCGGGCTAGGAGGTGGCTCTGCATGTGACCCACAGAGAGGAAGATATACCCTTTCCTGGTAGGTCACATGAGATGCAGTGGAGGACAGCTGCCAGGGACCAGGTTCTGTAAGGATGCAGAGAGAAAGGGTAGGTCAATCCTGGGACCTACCAGGATTGTGGTCTTTAAGGACAACTTCCGCAGCAAGTTTAGGTTCACCCATGCAAACCTCCTAATTCTTCTGAATCCCTGGGCTCACACATTGAATTTTAAGGGCTGGCCAGCCACAATAAGGATGGAAGCTGCCTTAACAGCTTGATTAAATGCCAGCTACACTGTACATAGCTATCCCCTCTAGAGGCAAAACCTGTCCTGACTCTGAGAGAACCATGGCGGTTGATTACACAATAGCCGGTCTACAACTCCACAAAATGAGATTTCTCCAATGTCCAAGGCTTAATTAACATTGAAAAGGAAATTTGAGTTAAGTAAACTCCCAGAAGAGACCTTCCTGGGCAGCCACTATAAACCCTTCTGGGTTGTCCTTTTCCCCAGGGCCTCCCTACCTGGCCTTTTTTTCATTTGCTCCTTTGAGAAAGCCAAGTACAGGACTGAGCTAAGCATGGAAAAGAGAAAGGCAGCAACAGCATACTTTTCCTCACGCTGCTTCAGAACTGCCTGTGTGCTCGGGCAGTGCAGGTTTTTCCCAGGCTGCAAGGTCTTGTTCTGTGGAGCAGTGGCCATGGGCAGAGATTCGATTAAAATCTGGGAGGATGGCCTCAATCCACAAAATTCCAGCAGCAGACCTGGGACAACTCCAGGATAAGTAGAGCTTACTAGTCCTTCCTCCCAAACCAATTGCAAAATAAAACATTCTGCTTTAGTGCAATATTCCTCCCCCTCAAAGGAACTGGGAGAGGAGCCCGCATGCTCTGATCCCAGGAGTTTGGGAACCTTCTGACCTTGAGGTCAGACCTGTGTCCAACCTTCTGAGCAGCATATCACACTTCTAAGTTATCCCCTGGGACCTTTCAGGGGTTCTGCATGCCTGTAGGCAAGGTGGAGAGGGCAGTACAGGCTGTGGTTCCACTGGATCAACAGTCACTCCCGCCACACTAACAACAAAGCCAAGGAGAAGAGAAAGAGGGAAGAGAACTCTATTGAAAACAAGAGCTAATGGCCAAGGGTCGTCAGGAGCTGCTGCGGCCCTGGCCCAGACAGAAGCTCCTGGTTCCCGGGCAGAATTCCCCCTTCCAATACCATAATAGCAAAGTGCTTTTCTGGGTATCACCACAAATCCCTTCTTGCAGCACGCTCAGCTCAGAGCCTGGGGCTCTCATGGGGGCCCCTCTGCTCTCCCCAGGATGTAAGATGGCAGGGAGAGCAGGAAGGTGTTGACGCACATGCACACAGTGGCATCTCATGACTGAGGACAAGTGCGGCATAGCTGAGCAGAGCCAAGTGACAGGTACTGTCACAGCAGCGGTGACAGCTGGGTGCCAAGGGAAGAGTACAAAGTGCTGAAACAGGGCTGGGCCTGAGCCCTAAGGGATCTGAAAGACATTCAGCTTGCTGGTGTTCTTCAGTGTCTGGCGCCGATTGCAGAACCAGACGCGCACAACCTCTCGGTCATAGTTGAGCTCCTTAGCAATCTCAGTGATCTCCTGGCCCGTGGGCAGAGGGTTCTTCTCAAAGTAGGCATTGAGGGCCTCAATGGCCTGGGGGGTGAAGGAAGTGCGGCGCTTGCGTTTCTTGGAGGGCTCACCTCCTACAAACTCCATCAGGTTCTGCTGGCCCTCCTGGTTCCGAAGTTCAGCCTCGTTCAGCCACTTCTCCAGCACTGGCTTCAGCTTCTGGGCACTCTTAGGTGTGATGTCCAGCTTCTCAAATCTGCAGCCAACACATGCACAGGAAGGGACAGAGAGCGTATTGGTCTCTTTGGCACATGCAAATCTGGGAGGAATCTTGGTTCCTCCCCAAAGGGGCTATTCCAATGAGAGCTGCCGAGACTCAACCCGGAGTCTCCTCACCACCTCCACCATGGCTTCTCTGGCTGCACCAAGCCCAAACTCCTCAGACTCTTCAGTATCCCAGGTCTGCACAGGGAGACCATTCCATGGCCAGTTTAGCAGGGTCACAACAACAGGGCCCTAAACAACTGTTCCAGAAGTTTCACACACAAATGGGGTAACCCCTTTGAGGAGTGGCCTCTCGAGGTCCTGAGTGCTGACCAGGCTACTCTTTCTGGCGGAGCCAAAGTGCCACGGGGGTTGCATTAATAGTCACTCTAGTCTCACCATAGAGCAGACAAAACTGTTTGACCATTACTAAGCAATGCATTTATTCCTTTCTGAAACTTCGCTACTCCACCTATGGTTCTGGTGTCAACACTAGTTTGTAGGCAGCACCCAGAAAACTTAGCTCTATTACTTTAAGGTAATCCTCACCCAAGTGGGAATGGGTTGGTGACCAGGTATGGTATAGCTTGAGGGCAAAGACAGAACCAAAGTCCCACTTTTGTAATTAACATTATCAGTTGTATTCCTGTCCTGCTAGGATTTCTGCATTCGTTTGGGTCTTGGGTTCTGCCATAAAAGCAAAACTGAGGATGCTGGGGATTGGAGGGAGGGCAGCTTTCAGAGGGCTCTGGGAGTATGAGGGGAGTCTCTGGCTGCTCCCAGGGTTCCCGTCCCCTTTAGGACAGTCTTCCTCATCTGGAAGAAGGCAGGAGCAAGAAGGACACAGGCAAGGGCTGGGTGGAGGTCTGGGTCCCCATGAGTGTCAGTGGTGGCAGGCACTGAGCAGGTCCAGACCTGTCCAGGACAACTTCACTCACCGGCAGATGGCTGACTGGCTGTAGGCCGGACCCTCTGTCGCTGTTAGAGCCTGGCCCACCTGGGTCTGTGTGAGGCCCAGGGAGAGCCGCCGGATCTTAAAGTTCTTGGCAAACTCCCGGATCTCTTCCAAGTTGATCCCATCCTCATCCAGGTTGGGAGTGTGCGGCTCTAGGCCAGAGGAAGGCACCGGGGAAGAGTGTGAGATGGGCCACATCCCTGCTCATCTGGCCCACTGGCCTGGACTGGTGCAGTGGTGAGGGATGAGGGCACCTGGCAAAAGGCTCGTGGCACCCTGAAGCCCTCATCACCCTGCCAAGGAAGACATGTGGGAAAGGCCCCTGAGCCCATCTATGGGGGAAGAGCTCTGACTGCTGACCCTGCCCCACGCTCCCCATCCTTTCCCAAGCCATCCACATTCCTCCAATACTGGGTTACAAGACCACAGCAGAGGTAGCCAAGGACTTGGCCCCTCCAAGAGGCAGCCAAACACCCAGCTCTGCAGCTCCACCATCATCATGTCCAGAATCCAGTCCAACAGGAATAAGAATAAGAAAGCCAACCCTTTACCAAGGATGGCGGTGCATGCCTGCAATCTCAGCCCTCAGGAGGCTCAAGCAGGTGGATCACCATGAGTTTGAGGCCAGTCTATGGTACATAGTGAGTTCAAGGCCAGCATGAACTACACAGTGAGATGTTGTCCAAAGAAAAACAGAAAGAAAGATCCCATCCTAGCCCTCCTTGCTGAGCACAGTAGCACATGCCTTTAATCCTAGCTTCCAGAGGCCAAGGCACAAGGATCAAGAGCTTGAGAGCAGCTTGGACAACTTAGTGAGACCTTGTTTCAAAATAAAACAAAAAGGGCTGGGAAGGTAGCTCCATGTAAAATACTTGGCTAGCATGCAGAAGGCCCTAGATTCAATCCCTAATGCCACAGAAATAGGAAGAGGAGGAAAACAACAACAGGGGAAGGAAGGAAGGGGATAGGAAAAAGAGGAAGAGGAGAGGAGAGAAGGGAACGGAGCAGAGCAGGAGAAAGCCTGCCTCTCATATTGGGCCTTTGCTGTCCTTTGGATTCCAGGAAGTTTATTGACTTGAGATGGAGTCTGACTATGTTACCCAAGCTGGCCTTGGACTCCTTGGCTCAAGGGACCTCCTGCCTCACCCTCCCACAGAGCAACTGGGACGACAAGCATGTGCCACCAACCGATATTTACTAAGTTTATTAAGAGAAACAGTATCTGAGGAGATCAAGGTGTCCTAATAAATGCCTTCTCTCACTTCTCTATGCTCTTCTACTCAGGGACCTACTTACTGGACACCAACTGGCTGACTGTCGGGGTTTCTGAGCAGGTGATTGGGATGGGAGTGGAAGCAGAGGGCTTGACTGCTGGAGCAGGGCTGGTGATGACCACAGCAGGCTGGGGCACAGCTGGCGTAGGCTGGATGGGCTGCACCTGGGAGAAGAGAGACAGAAAACCCCTGTGGCACCTCTCTGGCTCAGGAGCTTGCAGTCCCAGTGTGGACCAGAGGCAGAGCAGACATGGGCATTAGATCCTCATTACTACCCAGTGCACTCCCACTTGCACCACATCAAAAATCAAGATTAGAAGCTGCATACTAACACCCTGTCCTCAACAATGACCTCCTGAACAAGCACAGCCATGAGCCCTGCCAGACTGGAACCTCCTGGGAGGCAGGTGGGGTGGGAGGCTCAGAATGCTTCAGTGCACTTAGCCAAACCCCCAAGTGCCCACCTGCGGGATAACTTCTCTCCTATTTCTGCCTTCAAAGGAGAAACTTAAACCCAATTCTAGAGCCTCCCAGGCCTCCAATGTCCATGAGGAGGAAACCGGTAGGTTACTGTGGAGCTTCCCTACATGAGTAAGGAGCTGTTAAAAAGAATACAGTATAAACTACTACAAAGACAACATGCAATATATTAATTATTATAACTGTCCTACTAACCTGTTTTGAAACTGTCTCATTGCTATTTCTTTCTCAATAAAATTAGTTAAAAAAATTAAAAAATGAAGAATACAGTACAGCTGGGGGAGGGGGACAGCACCACAAATGTTCAAAGAATAAAAGTATCTCTCTTAACTATTCTGAATCATAGTGCTAAGTGTAAAATAACTTTTATGGAATAATGCCTTTCAAAGGCATTTTCTTTTTTCTTTCTTTTTTTTTTTTTTTTTTGCGGAACCGGGGATTGAACTCAGGACCTTGTGCTTGCCAGGCAAACGCTTATTCTATTGAGCTAACTCCCCGGCCCCACAAAGGCATTTTCATATGTATTTTCAGAAATATTTGTGATCAGACTAAGCAAGCTCTCAACAGAAGTCATCTTTAGAGACTGAAAGAGAAGGCTTTTTCTTTTATTATTTTTGGTGGTACTGGGAATTGAACCCAGGGCCTAATGCAAACATCCTATCACTCAGCTACATCCCCAATTCAAGGGATTTTAAAGTTTTACATGACATAGATTAGAATTTTTTTTAAAAATGTATTTGGTTGTTACAGGGTTTCACCATGCAGCTTGGACTCATGGTGATCCTCCCGCTTTCAGCCTCCCCAGTGCCAGGATTACAAGTGTGCGCCACCACACCCAGATTCTGTTGCTAGCTCAGTGCACTCTGGGGGCAGGGCTGGCATGGCATGTGGTGCCGGGGATGGAACCGAGGGCCCTAAGCTTGCCTAAGCTTGCCTAAGCAGGCACTTTAGTCCACTGAGCTATCTCACAAGCCCGAACATACATTAGAATTTTAACAAGCATAAAAACTGATCAGGCGTTGTGGTGCATGCCTGTAATCCCAGCACTCAGAAGGCTGAGGCTTGAACTCACTGACTGCCATGAGTTCAAGGCCAGCCCGGACTATATACCTAGACCCTGTTTCAAAAAATCCACACACACGCACACGTACGCGCACATGTGCATGCATGCACAGGAACACACAAACACCCCAGGAGAAACTATAAATACATGAAATTAGTACTTCTAGTATGAGGAGAATAAAGAACTTTTGAGGAAGTGACTGCAGGTGTCCCCAGAATGGCCCCCTTCTGCCTCCCGTAGCACCCATCTACCTGCTCTCTGTCCCCAAGTGCTCTGCCCTAGTTCAGAGCTCCTTGAGTTTTGCTGGAACTACAGAAGCTGCCTCCTATCCAGTGACAATCATCCAAAGTTCACAACAGTCCAGACCTTGGATCCACTTGGTAACAGAGGGATTTTTTTAAGCACATCTAATCAACTATTTCTCTGTTTAAATAACCTTTGGTGGGGGCTGGCGAGATGGCTCAGTGGTCTAAAGCACCTACATGGAACAAGCTTGGCTAAAGCACAGGGACCACAGTTCGATCCCCCAGCACCACATGCCAGCCAGCCTCGCCCCCTGGTGGGCTGAGCTGGCCACACACACACACACACACACACACACGCACACAATAAATAAATAAATGTTTAAAAAAAAATAATAACCTTTGGTGGCACCTCAATCATTAATAGCTCAGTAAGGGCTATTGCTTCTCAAATGCTCTCCATGTACCACAGCGTTAGTGGCCTTTATGTCATATCCATAACCTTTTGGCATTGGCACATTTATAATTTCTATTTTTCAGATGAAGCTAAGTTATTTGCAAAGCTCAAAAGCCCCTCATACATTTGAGAACCTCTGGCCTCGGTGTCACCTGGGGAATTAGAATACACACTCTGGAGCCCCACCTCAGACCTCTAGAGAAAGACTTCCACCTGGAGGGCTCGCCAGGTGAAAAGTCTTTCTCTAGAGGTCAATGTTTTGTGCCCACCTCAGACCTCTAGAGAAAGACTTCCACCTGGCGAGCCCTCCAGGTGATTCTGAGGCACAGGTTGGAGAATGACCACTGTGGTTAGGATACTTGCTGCAGTTCCCCAAAGACAGCACTGTCACACCCAACCCATCCCTCTGGGTTGTTTCAAAGCTCTTTCTCCCTGGAGCTTTGCCAGATCCCCTGGGATGTCCAAGCTCTGCTTCTCTGGGACCCCGAAGTGCCTTATTCCTGCTTCTGGCATAGAATTTATGGTGCTCATACAGCTGGTGTAATCATATCTCAGCACTAGGAATACAGTAGGTATTCCCTCCCCCCTTAAAAAAAAAAAAAAAAGCATCTTGGTGGTCAACACCTATAGTCTAAGCACTTGGGAGACTGAGACAGAACAATGTCAAGTTCAAGGCCAGCCTGCGCAATTTTGTGAGACCTTGTCTCAAGATTAAAAACAAAATGATCCTAGGAAAAGTAGTTCAATGTGAAGATCCTGGATTTAACCCCAGAAGCAAATAACAACAAACTCTGAAATGAACAAATAAATGAATAATCAAAGCCAGGGTGCAGAGTGAAGAGCCAAAAGGTTAAGAAGAGATGTGGAATTAACCTCCTAAGGCTTTCCTAGCAGTTTGTCCACCCTGAAGCTGCCCCAGGTCTGGTCTGCTCTGACCAGAGCCCCTTCCCAAGACTTCTTAAGAGTGGCACTGGTGTCTGAGGGTGCATGTGTAGTAGGGGACAGATGAGGGCAGCTTCCTTGAGCAGGACCCTTGTGTGGACTCACGTAGGCCTTCTACCAACTGATGGCCCCTCCCTTTTGGAAGGGCCCCTGCTCTCCCAGGAGTTTTAGAAGATGTTATCCTGCCTGGCGGGCTAGAAAGGTACCCATGCCTCCCGACTCCATCCCCATCCCCAGTACCTCACTCTTAGCAGGGGACTCAGGTGTGCTTGGCTTCCGGACAGCCACAGGTGGAGGCAGGGGGCTGCTAGCCAGAGTTGCAATCACCTGGCCCTGGGCATTCAACAACAGCTGGGGGGTCACAGCCTGGACCTGCAGGCTTTGAGCTGGTGCTGGGGCTGCCACGCTAGCTGAGTTCACCACCCATGGAAGTGTTCCAATGACCTAGGAGGAAATAAGGGAACCAGGTGTGACACACCTGGCACTAGGTGTGTCCAGAGCCACCCATCCTGGCAGGGAAAGAAACTAACTTGGACAAACCACTTAAACCCCTCTGGCCTATTTCCTCTTCAACAAAACGAAGTCTTTGCGCTCTCAGGGTCCTGCCTTTCTTCTATCCTCAGGGCTACAGCAGAGCAGCAGCAGGTCTGTTTGTGAATCAGAGATGCCAACTGGATGCCCCTTGAATGCCAGGATTCAGGTATTGGATGCCAATACCTGCTCTGGGAGGGTGCTCCATACATGAAATCCTTTAACTAGAACGAGTGTCTCCAGGGTGGGGTGGTGGCTGCATCCCCGCTCCCCTCAGTAGCATCAGAGGCCTACAAACAGCAGCTCGGTGCCTGTCATGCCATGCTCCTGGCTGCTTCCTACTGGCCTTACCGACCTCCACCCCCAGCCTCCAGAGCCCTTACTTTGACCACTTGCCTGTCCCTGAGCATTGGTGAGGATCTGACTGCTGATCCCTGGCATGCTGGGGATGGCGCTGGTAATGACCGGAGTTGTAGTGAGGGAACCCAGGATCTGAGTCTGTGCCCCAAGGGAAGCAGCACTGATCTGTGGGTGGAGGAAGAGCCCTGCTCAGAGACTGAGGGGCAAGAGACCCAGACAGAGGGAAGTGGGCCGAGGGCATGGGGCGGGCAGATACCCATGTCTACTAACTGAACAGTACGCAGGGACTAGAGGGACAGGGGGAAGGAGGGGTCATGACCATGTAACTGGTCAATGTTTTGTGCCAGGCTGGGAGGTAGAAGGGCCAGACTGTAGTTGGCTGATGTGCTCCAGGTCACATCCAGCAGCCCTGCTAACAAGCCAGGAGCCACATGGGACAGATACTGGCACAAGGGCTGGGGCCTCTGGCTGCACCTCAGTGGCAGCTCACAAGTTTGCAATCCCTAAGGCACATCCCACCCGCCAAGGCTGGTCTACTGGTTCAGGTTCTGGAGCATCTGCCCAGGACTCTTGGCAGAGGTTGTCCTCTTTTGTCTGGGCTGGACAAGCTGACAGCTCTCAGGAGCCCATCTCTGTTGAAGTGTTGGAAAAGGGCTGCATTCAAGGGGCTGCTCCTCCACTGGCCAAGATTTGGTCCATCCCCGGTCAGCCCTGGGTGTGGGCAGCAGCTTACGATTCCAGGACTAAACGCAAAGCCTGCAGGCTGGACGGTGATCTGTGGGGTGGTGTCCACTGGCTTGGGGGTGGGAGCAGCAGCGGAGGTGGCAGTGGGCTGCGGTAGGATGGCAGGCGTGGTCTGCAGCAGCGGCTGGGTCTGGAACAGCGTCGGGGGCTGGGCTGGTGGCCGGGGCTGGGCTGGTGAGGAGGCTTGGGCTGGCGGGGCAGCTTGTACAGGTGCCGGAAGAGCGGTGTTCAGCACGGCAGCTGCTACGGAGCAAGGCAAGAGACAGAGGTGCTCAAACGCCTAGCCACAGCCTGGAGCAGCTCGAATCCTAAGGGATCTGGCATGAGGACAGGGGTCGGGGCAGCGGGCATGGGAGCAGGCAGCCACGATTCCCTTGATCCTTGAAGGGCTGGCACATGCCAACATCAAGAACCAGATGTCAACTCTTCTTGCAGTCCTTCGCAGGAGGCTGGTCACTAGGTGGATTCTGGCGTGGGGGCAGGGGGTGATCTCAGGCAGTCGCTGATGGAAGAAAGGCCTGCTGGCCAGCATGGTGTCCTGGCCTAGAGTCCCGAAATGGAGCAGCAGCTCTGTGACTGGGTGCCTGGGATACTGGATCCAGACTCCAGGGCTGTCACCCCAGGTGGGCTGCGGGTTCTGAGTCCAACATGGCAAGCACACGTGCAGGGGCGGTAGTGTAGGGTGGTGGGGGCCTGGTGCAGTCCTGGGGAGAATTGCCTGTTACCTTGGAGACCGGCTAAAGGTGGCTTGAAAATTCCCCCCGTAGGAGAAGCAGCGGTCAGTCCTGGGAGGGCAGCCACAGTTGCTGTAGGAATTGTCCACACGGCCAGCCCCTGCTGCCCAGCCACTTGACCTGCAATACTGATGGGGATAAGAAGAGGTTGAGTAACTGCCCCTGCTGGAACCATAACTCCTGTCAGAACTGTGGCTAAGTTTTCCTGAGTCAAGACCTGCAAAAGCAAACAAGATTTCAAAAAGAAAAGAAAAAATAAAAAATCAACATTGACAGTGCAAAAACTGGGTCTCTCAGACCCAGAAGAATACACACAAAGCATTCTGAGGGCAGTGGGGAAAGGCCATAGAGGGTGGGCAGAGCCAAGCCTTAGCTGGAGCTCGACCCTGAGGAGTGACTGGGCCACACTATTCTGCCTGCAGAGGAATCCTCCAGGCCAAGTCAGGGCTGGGCCTGCCCCCAGCCAGCCCTCTTGCCTCTTAGTCTGTTACCTTCCAGACCTTCCAGGGGCCCTGGCCCACAAGACCAGTGCTTTGCAGCCAGGGAGCTGGGGCAGAGGCTGCAACCAAGTGGACAGGGGCCCAAAGAGGCCTCCAAGAAGCTCTGGGGAAGGAAACCCTCGACTGGCTGGCTAGGGATCAGGCCAAGGAGCAGATGCCACAGGGCTCTGCGTATCTGCAGGATCCCCAAGGCACAGACTCACTGGCTAGGGCCTTTCTCTGGCTCTAAATGAGGCCTCTAAATAACCCATTAACTCTTCCAGGCATTGGCAGGTGAGACTGACAAGGACACTCAGTCATTACTGGATAAGTGGGTACTCTGGCAGCATGAAAGCAACATCCAGTTTCTTTTTTTTTGTTTTGTTTTGTTTTTTGGAGGAACTGGGGATTGAACTCAGGCCCTTGCGCTTGCCAAAGAAGCACTTATTCTACTGAGACATCTCCCCGGCCCTAAATCAGTTTCTACAATTCTTTCTGGACCCAAGGAGATGGCCTGCAGAACAGTTCCTCTTTCCTAATGGGCCCAGTTGGGTCAGGTGTAGACCAGGGTGCCTAGCGAGAGACTCCCTCCCTCAAGCAACAGCTTCTTCCCAGTCCCGCCTCATGCAGGACCCCAGGACCACCCCACCCCTGGCTCTGTCCAGCTCCCTGGGGTGGCTCTCACCTGGGGGGCAGCTTGTACAGTCAGTGGTGTCAGGGTCTGCGATGCCTGAGGCTGGCTTGGGGCTTGGCTGAAGGTGGCAATGTCAGGGGCAGGGCCCGGAGGGATCCCCGGGACTGACTTCACTTCACATGGCATCGAGAGAAAGAAGAACAAGCAGTGAGCCTGGTGGAGTAGCACATCGTGTCTGCAGCCTCAAGGGACATTCTCAGCCCTGTGCTATAGTTCTGCATGACTCCAGGCCACTTGTCGGCCTTCCCTAGACCACAAGGCAGCTTGCCCCATGCCATTCCTAGTGACACAAGAAGGCTGGGGAGTGCCATGCTAGATCAGGCAGACAGGCCACCCTCTTCCCACATCTAGATGAAGAGAAGGCAGGTCTCTGCACAGCTGGCTATCAGCCCCTCATTTCCTGGCTTTATAGGACACTGTGACCTGTCATATAAACAGCAAAAGGGCCTCAAGCAGATATGAGACAGAGAGGTAAAGAGCTAGAACTGACAGGCACAGGTATTCTGGACTCAGCCAGCAATAGAATCGCTATTTATTGGATTTAAAAAAAAAAAAAAAAAAGTGATGGGCCAGTGAGAAAGCTCAGCAGTCTAAAGTGCCTGCTTAGGTAAGTTTAGGCAGGCGCAGGGGACCATGGTTCAATCCCTGGTAACACATGTGGGGCCAGCCCTGCCCCCACCTCAGGGTGGGCTGAGCTGGCCAAAAAAAAAAAAAAAAAAAGCGCTGGTTTTGGCAAAGTCCTTAAAGACTGGACTTGTCTTTGCCACGCTGCAGGCACTCAGGAACCTCCAGACCTACCAGGTTTTCTCTGCCATCCCCCAAAACCTGAAGTCAGATGAGCAGTTGCTATAAGTTTCTAAAGGAACCCCCAGGATCTATAGCTTATCACTTCCTCCTGCGACCCTGGCAAGGAATTGGGAGGCGCTGACCAGGAAACCTCACTGATGTTACACTAGACTGAAATGCAGGACCAGCATGGTGCTGTACACTTGTAGTCCTAGCACTCAGGAGGCTGAGGCAGGCCAGCCTAACTGCATAGTGAGTAGTGAGGCCCTGTCTCAAAAAGACAAAAAAAGAAAAAGAATTCATTCATTTATATATTTTTCTGTATTTAGGACAGGTCTACAAGGTCTACATGGTCTCACTACGTAGATCAGAGTTGTAGTGATTCTCCTGTTTTCAGCCTCCCAAGTGCTGGGATTACAGGCGCGTGCCACCACGCCTAGTCTCCCTATCTAAGTGCATCCTGGGGGCTGCACCAGCACTACATCACATTTTAGATGTACAAAAGATCAGGCTAGGGGCTGGGGTGATGGCCCAGTGGAATAAGCGCGTCCCTGGAAAGTGCAAGGGCCTGAGTTCAATCCCAGGTTCCGAAAAAAAAAAAAAAAATCCCTTAAAAGTTGAAAACTCATAAACAAAAGACCAGGCTGACTGCACATCGAGACCCTGCCTCAGAAAGACAAAAAGAGAAAGAAAAAAAAAAAAAAAACTGGGCTCAGGAATATAGCTAATTTCAATAGCCCTGGGTTCAACCCTCAATCACACACACACACAGACACACACACGTGTGCAAATACTAAAATTTCTTTTCTTTTTTTACATACCAGGGACTAAACTCAGGACCTCATGCTTGCCAGGCAAGCATATGCCACCAAGATAAATGCCCAGTCCTAAAATTATTTCATGGAAAGGAAATTTCATAAAATGCTTCAAATTATAAACCTCTAAAATAAGATATACAGGGGCTGGAGAGATGGCTCAGTGGTCTAAAGCACCTACTTAGAACAAGCTTAGCAAAGCATCAGGGACCGTGGTTCAATCCCCCAGCACCACATGCCAGCCAGCCCCGCCCCCTGGTGGGCTGAGCTGGCCACACACACCACACACACTCATTCTCTCTCTGTCTCTCTCTTTGTCTCTCTCTCTCTCTCAAATAAATAAAAAAAAAAAAAAAAAAAAAAAAAAAAAAAAAAAAAAAAAAAAAAAAAAAAAAAAAAAAATATACAGCACCATAAACACTTATACTTTCGTGCTGATGTGTAAATAACTGACCTCAGGCTCCCCACTCCACATCGGATTGAACCCACAGCCTTTGCACTGAGCTACATCCCAACCCCTTTTAAAATTTTATTTTAATTAATTAATTTATTTATTTATTTTGCGGAACCGGGGATTGAACTCAGGCCCTTGCACTTGCCAGGGAAGTGCTTATTCAATTAAGCCATCTCCCCAGCCCCCTGTAAGGTCAACTTTGCAGAGGAACCACACCTATACATCTGAGAGGAGAGAGCAAACATTTGCTGGGATCGACCTAATCTACATACTTAGTGTGAGGAAGGCAAGATGCCCTTCTTCACTCAGCTTCTGAAACCCCTGGCCCAACCACAAAAAAGATAGTTGGAAAGGCTGGCAGGATTCTGAAGGCCCAGTCCTCTCTGCACTGGGCCCCACAATCTGGTTCAGACTTGCGATCCCTTGAAGGTTCATTTAAGTCCCCTAAACTGAGCCCTGCCAATCTCTTCCCACCTTAGCCTGAGCAATTCCTGCTTAGACCTGGAAGTGATTGCCAGGAGAGCTAAAACTCTAGGAACAAGGAGTGCAGACTAGCCCTGCTGGCTAGGAGAACAGGCTGAGGCAAAGGCTGTCCAGTGGAAAGAAGACAAGATCCTTAGGTCAGGGCTGGCCTGATACCTCAGCGGACTAAAGCTCCTGCTTAGGCAGATCGCAGCGGCTGGGGTTAAATCCCAGCATGTTGTGCCGCTCTCCGCCCCTGAGGCATGCTGAGAAAGTGACTGAGACTTGGAGTGGTGGCGCACACCTGTAATCCCAGCACTTGGGAGGCTGAAAAACAGGAAGATCACTGTGAGGCTGATCTATGTAGTGAGTCCCTATACACCCTGTATCCCCTGTACTAAATGCAAAAAAAAAAAAAAAAGATCCTAAGGTCGCCTGGTCCCTGGTCCCTGAAGTTGTGCTAGCTCCCCACAGGAACACAGGAGGAACTCAAAGGTGTGTTAATGACTAGGAGTGATGGACTCATACCAGCTGATTCTGCAGAGGGGTCTGGGTTGCCTGGACCAGCTTCACCAGCAGGTTCACTGGTGTCAGCAGGGCCCCTGCTCTGGGAGTTCTCAGCAGCCACACTCTCGAGTCCTTTGCCCTCCTCCTCAGCAGGGAGCTGGGAGTCCACGCCAACTTCCAGTACCCGGATGGTCTCATGGCCTGACATCACGATGACCTGCAGGCAGAAGATGGGGACATTTATGGGGGGAGGGGGCACTGCATGGCCCCTGGGGCTGAGTTCTGGACGTGGCCAGAGTACAGACAAGTGAACACTTGAGGAAGCTGACCTCCTATCCAGAGGCATTCTTGCCAGAAAGCTAGGGCAAGGCTAAGCTACTGCTCCGACTCCCGGGAAAGAGCTGCTAGGAGAAGGTAGACCCTGGGGTCAGGGAAAAGAGGCTGGCTTGACCTGGGCAAACCAGGCAAAGTCCAACAGCGCCAAAGCCTTTGGGAGGTATTTCTATTTGCTCTCCTTCCTGAACTCAGTTCAAGGAGGGAGAAACATCCTGCCCCTAGCTTGTGGATATGTCTCCTTGGGTGCTAAGACACTGGAATGTGGCCTCCAACATAGTATTTATACCTTAAGTCAGGCCCAGAAAAAAATTCATGTTTTTTCTTGACACTGTCAGGAAGTTTTGCAAAGCTAAAGGACTTGGATATGAAGCCCCACACTGCTGCCTAACTTTTTGAACTTTATTTGTAAAACCCTACAGTGAAAGGCTAGATTTCTCTGCAAATTAGCCTCCTGGAAAAGGGGCCAGGCATCAGAAAGACACATCTCTAGAGACTAACCCATGCTGGCCTGCACAGTCCTGCCATTCACAAGCACCTTCAACCACGTGGTCCCTGGGCCTTTTGGACACTCAGATTCCTGCTCCTACTCCCGTTACTCAGCTCCTACCTCAGCACAGAAGTGCGGCCTTTGGGCCCTTCAAGACTCAGGGAAACAAAGAATCAGAGACAAGTACTGTGCAAGAAGAGCCTTGTGGCAGCTGTGCCTGGCACTCCACCCCCACCTGACACACTCCCACGGCACACTCCTGAAGCCTGAAAACTGGACCCAGCCAGAGGCTGCGCTGGGCAAAGTGACAATGTGACTCTTCAGGAGAATTTGAGTGAAAAAAATCCCACAGAGCAGGTCACTTCTGCTGACTCAAACTTGACCTACAAGGGTCATTCCCAGTGCATTTTAAGAGGTATTAATTTTTGTTCTGCCTTTAAAGCAATGGTATAGAGATTAAATGATCATTGAAAAAAATATCAGAAAATACAAGTGAGAAGATAGAGTAAAACACCTGACATCCAACTCTTTCTTCATGTACACTCATATGTATCTGCATACTCTAATTTTTATTTTAAAATTACCACTCAAATCTCCAAAATTAGCCACTGAGAAACCCTAGCTGGGCAACTCCCTCAAACCAGTAAAGTAGCCATGAACTTGGTAAGTAACCCACACTGAGGGGCTCTGCGAAGTCTTTGCCCCTTGCCCACACCCCTTGGTCCACCACCCTCACCACCCTCACCTCTCCTTGGCCTGAAAAATACCTGCTCATTGACAGTCAGAGAGGACTCGGACCCGGCTCCAGGATCCATGGTTCCTGGGCAGGCTGGGGTGGGGACTGGGCCACACCTAGCGTGTCCTGGGTAAGATGGAGTTGGAAAAGCAAACGCTGATGTGACACAGTAATCAAATTCCCAGACCACCTAGAAAAGTCAAAAATAGAATGGCAGAAAGACAGAGCTACAGCAGTAGAAAGAACAGCATTTGGAGAACTTCAGAGCCTCGCTTCCTATAGCATCCCAAGAGACCTACATACAGGAGCCACTGTGCCCAGAGTGACAAAGGAGAGAGGACCAGGTATCTGTCCCAGGGGCTTCCTCGTGCCAGTGGAAGACAGTGCCCCCAGCAGTCCACAACTGATGTGACAGACACTCAGAAGCTCAGACAGAGGTGCTTCTCGGGAAAAACTGGGACAGAACTTCTGGAAAAAGATGGTGAAGACATAAATTAGCTAGGGGCAGTGGTGCACACCTACAGTCCCAGCTGCTCCAGAGGCTAAGACAGGAAGATCCAAGAGATCCGGAGCTCAGGAGGTCCGGTCCAGCTCTGGACTTTACCATGCATAATTATCACCTGGAGCACTTACTAAAAATGCAGCTCTCCAGGTGCTTTCCCTCTAAAACCCCCAGAAACTCTGACTTGGGGGCTGAATCCCAGAATTAGCTCTCCAGTGATTCAGTAGCACTGACCTAAGGACACTAATGACCCTTATACAGCTAAGAAGTAAGGAGTGGGTGAGCCCCTGGTGGGGCAGGTTGTCTGTCACCACAAATCAGTCTTAGGAAATAAAAGAAATAAAAGGGATATACAGGTTTAAACATTTACACAGGAAACAGGGTGATTAGCCTTTGGTTTCCTCTGAGTGCTTACTGTGGGCTAAATATGTAACACTAATTAATGTATTATGCATGCACCCTAGGGGGTGAGAGGTAGGGACATTATTACCACTGAGTTACACTAGGGGAAACCAAGAGGTGTTCTGGGATGCAGACCATTACAAAGAGGCTCTGAGCAGGATTTAAATTAACCAACTGGGGCCAGGGAGATAGCTCAGCAGCATAAGTACCTGCCTGGCAAGCACAAGGTCCCCAAGTTTGATCCCCAGGACAGCAAAAATAAATACATTAACCAATTGGTTTTCTATGTTTACTTGTGAGTCTGTCCAAGGCATAGGTCTCTTGTCTGGAGATGGGCGGCAGTCATAGTAAGTGAACCTCTGTGTGTCACTGGTCCCTGCTGAGGCCTGCAGTGGCCAGTGAAGCAGGAAACCTCCAAGGACAAGGCCACAGCTAAGGACATCTGGCTCCAACCTCAATTAACTAGATAAAGACTGTAGCTACAGGCATCTCACTCCCAGGTGGAGACTTTCCTGGAGCACAATTCTCTTCAATTAACATGTCTTACTTGGAGAAGTCCTTGAGAGACTTCCAAGGTCCCAGACTGGTCCTGCTCAGATTCTTACCTTTTTTCTATATTCCCCTCCTTTGTTCTGATAACTAAATAAACAGGCTGCCCAGAAAAGATATTGGTCTTAGCCCCCAGAGAATCTCAAATTCTGTTAAGAGGGTTTTGCTTTTCTGAGAGGATCCTGGAGCCTAAAATCACATACTCCTTTGGGGGATTGTAGGCCTGATCAGCTCACAACGAGGGATGACATTAACTCATTAGTTCTGGATTCCACACCTTTCCCTCTTTCTCCCCTAGGTTTTCTTGTTTGTGGTGCTGGTGCTGCGGATGGAACCCAAGGCCTTATGTGCGCTAGAAAACCACCCTATCATTGAACTCATCCAGTCACCCACGCTATGGTCTGAATGTGTCTCCTCCAAATTAATATGGAGAAATCCTCCCCCTCAAGAGGAGGGTACTGAGATGATTAGGCTATGAGGGAAAAAACTCTCATGAATAGGATTAGTGTCTTTATAAGAGAGACACTGGTCCCTTCCACTGTGCAAGGCCACAGCAAGAAGGGACAGGCCCTCCCCAGACACTGGAGCCTTGATCTTGGACTTCCAAGCCCTCAGAACTGTGAGAGGTAACCTCTTGTTTATAAGCTAATTAGATGATAATATTTTATTACAGCAGCCCAAGCAGACAAAGACAAAGGCATCTAACATAAAATTCGCCATTTTATTTCTGTTGTGTTGAGGACTGAACCCAGAGCAAGTGCTACCACTGGGCTACATCCCTAGCCTGTCTAACCATTTCACAGCCTACAATTCAGTGCAATTAAGCACATTCAGAATGCTGTGTGCCCACCACTGTTTCTTTTTCCAGAACATTCTCATTAACCCAAAAAGAAAACCCATGTCTACTTGCATGCACCCTCTAGGGCCATCTCCCAGCTCCTGGTAACTATAATGTGATTTTTCTCTCTATGAATTTGTATAATTTGAATATTTTATATAAATGGAATTGCACAATATGTGGCCTACTTTTTCCTCAGCATAACGTTTTTAACATTCACTCTTACAGTGGCATGTAGCATTAGTTTCATGCATTTTTATGGCTGAATATTTTATTGTGTGGATTAAATACACTTTGTCTACCCATTCACTAGTTGACGGATATTTGGGTTGTACTTTCCTTTGGCTACTGTGCATAGTATGTCTATAGTATATCTATGAATATTTGTGTACAATTTAACATAAATTTCCAATTCTTTGGGGTGTGTATGTAGGAGTGGAATTGCATGGGTTTTAGCACCTTTACCCTTTAGCAGAATGTTCCTCATTCAAGCACATGAGAACTATGAGGTACCTTCTCTCCTCTCCTCTCTCCAATATTTCTGAAATGAGTGTCAAGAAAGGGCAAGCAACTCAAGGATAAGTTGAGCCATTTGAAAAAAGGGCAGGGGTCAAGGATTTAGCTCAATGGCACAGCACCTGCCTGGCAAGGGTTAGGTCCTGAGTTCAATTCCTGCTACATCCCCTCACCAAAAAAAAAAATAAATAAACAAGCTTTCCCTTTTCAAGTAGGACAAGGGAGTCAGGAGGGGCAGAGAAATTTTCTAGAACAAGTGAGCATCTGCCTACCTCACTAGGGCTCTGGCTTCATTACTGGGTGATGTTCCCTGTGCCTGATCAAATGCTGTACACGGTAGTCTTCCAGGATTTTCAGAGAACTTGGCAATTTACCACCACCTCTGGGTGAGATTTGAGATGTACCATTAAAGCTGTTACATATAGGATTCCAAAAGAAAGCCATCTACAAATTAAAATAAGAGGCAGAGATAAACTTGAAAGGAAAGGTGTACAAGTGAATTGGGTCCCTTATACACACATTTCATGGGGAGAAGAAACTTCTACTTCCAATGAAGGACATCAGGCAGAGGCAGTGGCAGTGGCTAGTCAGAGGCATCTGCTCCAGAGGGACTAAAATGCTGCTCATGTCTTCTTGAGACCTCTGGTTCATTGCTACCAGCTGTGGCCATTCTCAAGGAGTGGTAAGGAGAAGCAAGCACGTTATTGGGCTAAGCTGAATGCCGCAGCTCATCCACTCTTTACTTCCTCTTCAGGTGGTCTCACCCAGGCTGACAACTACTGTATCTACATCTTCAGCTTGCACTTCACTTGGGAACTCTGCAGTCACATATCCACTGCCTGCTGGCAGCTTGTCTTGTACTATCAGATACAAGTGACAGATAGGTACGGTGATTCTCATAGCTCCTCTTCCCTTGAGAGTCTGTGAGTTATGAGGACTCAGGTGCTCAGTGTCCGGGCCTTTGTGTCAACGGCAAGGTCAGTCCTGAGCTAGTCTCTGGCCACAGGCAGGTCCACGCTGGCCCATGAACTTCAGCCCATTGATGATCCAGGCTGAGTGGAAGCAAGGACCTCCTCCATCTCTTACTAGCAGATATGTGTCTCTTCTGTAACAAATACCTCTTGGACACACTTAGCATTTTGACCCACGTGCTTTCTTCCTTGCAAGAAACTCCCCACTTTTTTAAAATTTTGAGCCTCAGGTTGGCATCACTGATCAACAGCCATCTTCAGTTTGCTTTTTGACCACTTTGCGACCCTCAACTGTCTGTTTTAAGAAACAATATAAACAGATCGCAGTGCAACTGCTCTTGTTAAAGCCAGGAGGGGCAAGAACAAAGCCCCTCAAGAGTCTTCTTGCTATCTTTCTCCAGTGAGGCATGTTTGATAAACTCCAGAACCAGCCTGGTGAGCAACCACATGGTTCACTCATCCTGGCTCTCTGGTGCTGGCGTTTACAACTCAGGCAACCTCAACATCTTCAGCTCTCCACAGGGTCCCTGCTTGCCTCCTACAGAGCTGCCACTTCCCTGGCCAGAAGACTGGGACCACACAGACAGCTGGGGCTGAGCTGAATGGTACAGCCTGTCCCTCCCTCCCCATCCAGTCCAACAACTGCCGAACCTTAATCTGGGAACTCTGGGCTCATAAATCCAACTGCCTATCAACGTGCTCACATCATGTCCCACTCCACGTGGTTTCAGTTCACTTCTGCTGCACACAAGTAGTACGTGCCCAGTGCCAGGTTGAAGCAGGAGAGATGTCACGTCGTCGCTGCTTGGTAGATTTTCTATATGTCCTCCACCTTTTCCATCCCTGGCCCCATCCTACCTGCTAAGAAATAATCACTTTATTTTTTTATTTTTTTGGTACCAGGGATTGAACTGTTGAGAAATAATCACTCAGGACTTTTACACATACTATTAGGGTTGGGTGCACACTCTAATATCACTGGGTTCCTAATTGCAGCTGTTATTTTTTATTACAACCCTAGAAGTCCAACCCTAGTGTGCTCTACCACTGGGCTACATCTCCAGCCTTGTTACTTTATTTATATATTTAATGTATTTGGTTGTTGCAGGGTTTCACTACGCAACTTGGACTCATAGTGATCTTCCTACTTTTAGCCTCCCCAGCACTGGGATTACAGGTGTGCGCCACTATGGACTCTGATCAGCTCAGCCCACCCTGAGGGTGTGGTTGGCACAGCATGTAGCGCCAGGAATCCAACCACAGTCCCTGCGCTTGCCTAAGCCTGCCTAAGCAGACCCTTTAGTTTGCTGAGCTATTTTGCCGGCCCTCCAGCCTTTTTAAATTTTTACTCTGCGGTAAATTAGGAACACTAATCTAAAAAAATTTGATCGTCCTGCCTCAGCCTTCTGAGTGACCTCAGCTTTGATATTTACCAGGTACAGGATTTTGGAGAAATGATTTAATGTCTACGTCTCAGTTTCCTCATCTGTAAAAATAGAAATAAGAGCACATACTTCTTAAGGCGATTGTGAGGACTGAGTAAAATTTTTTTGCAAAAGACAGCAATGTGTAATACAAAGCCCATGTTTGAATACCAATCGTCTTGGTCTTCTAACTGTGTACTGTTGCCGTGCCGTCCCCACCTTTGGGGAGCCCTGAGACTGCGACTGAGACTGTGCGTGGTGGCACACACCTATAATCCCAGCACTTGGAGGCTGTAAACAGGAGAATCACTATGAGTCCAATCTAGTAGTGAGACCCTGAACACCCTGTAGACCCTTCCCTAAAATACAGGAAAATAAATAAATAAATGTGTACTGTTTCTAATGTCATCAATTATTATACTCTCTTTAAAATATTTTTTTTAAAAGACAAGGCAAAAAATTAAGATTTTTTGAAAGCAAATGTTAACATTTAATTATCTGTCCAATCTTGCATAACTGTATCTGTTAATCTGAGCAATTTTTTTTTGGACAGAGTGCACAGGGTATACAGGGTTTCACTGTATAGATCGGACTTGTAGTGATCTTCCTGTTTACAGCCTGGGGCTGGCAGAGCAGGCCTGAGGATCGAACTCCAGGCCCCTGCTTTTGCCTAAGTAGGTGCTTTAATCCACTGAGCTATTTGGCTGGCCCCTGAGCAACAATAAAAATAGATAACAAGGGGCCGGGGAGATGACTCAGTAGAATAAGCGCTTTCATGGCAAGCACAAGGGCCTGAGTTCAATCTCCGGTTCTGCAAAAAAAAAAAAAAAAGATAACATAACCACCATTCTTAATTAGCTATTCCTGTTTTGAAAATCTGTAACATATGTATTGTTGTATGCTATCCTGTTTCTATCTTTTTTCTATTTGTTTTTTGCTTCTGTTTTTTACTCTTCAAAATAAAATAAAATTGAATTTAAAAAATAAATTCTGGGGGGTCTTTTTTGAGACAGGGTCTCACTATGTAGGTCAGGCTGGCCTTGAACTCTGGCAATTCTCCTGCCTCAGCCTCCTTACTGCTCAGATTACAGGGGTATGGCATCATACCCACCTAGGACTGGATAAATTAATACATGTACAACACTGACATCAATGCTCGGCACATATAAAGTGCTCAGAAAGTGGCAGGTATAATAATTGACATATATTACTTCAATTACGTATTTGACTTTAGTGTAAGAGTTAAGAATTTAGGTCCACCTCTCAGGATCACCATTGCTTAGCTACGAGGTCTTAAACAAAAGCCCATCTTTTTTACCTTAATTATAGTACATGAAATGGAGGTAGTATTATAGGAGATTGTATGAGTTCAAGAAATGTTATTCTCAAAATAAATAAATAAATAAATAAATAAATAAATAAATGTATTCTCATTCACTTCTGACACCTGTCCCACAAAACTACAGAACCCAGTGATTAAGTAGATAAACAACATAGTCTGACCAGAGTGACTGTCTACAGGTGGACAGTTTATTTCTCTGTTCTCTATTTTTTTCTGTGTGTGTGTGTGTGTGTGTGTGTGTGTGTGTGTGTGTTTGCAGTGCTAGGGAGGAACCCATGGACTTAAGGATGGCAGGCAAACACCACCACTGAGCTACAACCCCAATCCTATTTCTGTTTCCTCACTGAAAAATCCTACTAGAGCTTACGTTGAAATTGTTTAAGGCCAGAGCAAGGCAAGTGGGGAAGTGACGAGGAGGCGGAGTGTACCAGCTGGCCTCCCTTGTCCACAGCACCCACCATGATCAGACAACCCAGGCAAGTTTTTTGGAGGGGTGAGGGTGAGTTTCAGGACAGCATCTTGTTTTGTAGCTCAGGCTGGCCTTGAACTCACA